TCAGGAGGGCACGGTACAGGGGGAGTCAGGAGGGCACGGTACGGGGGGAGTCAGGAGGGCACGGTACGGGGGGAGTCAGGAGGGCACGGTACAGGGGGAGTCAGGAGGGCACGGTACAGGGGGGAGAGTCAGGAGGGCACGGTACAGGGGGGAGTCAGGAGGGCACGGTACAGGGGGAGTCAGGAGGGCACGGTACGGGGGGGAGTCAGGAGGGCACGGTACGGGGGAGAGTCAGGAGGGCACGGTACGGGGGGAGTCAGGAGGGCACGGTACGGGGGGAGGAGGGCAGGAGGGCACGGTACGGGGGGAGAGTCAGGAGGGCACGGTACGGGGGAGAGTCAGGAGGGCACGGTACAGGGGGAGTCAGGAGGGCACGGTACAGGGGAGAGTCAGGAGGGGGCACGGTACAGGGGGGAGTCAGGAGGGCACGGTACGGGGGAGTCAGGAGGGCACGGTACAGGGGGGGAGTCAGGAGGGCACGGTACGGGGGAGTCAGGAGGGCACGGTACGGGGGGAGTCAGGAGGGCACGGTACGGGGGGGGAGTCAGGAGGGCACGGTACGGGGGAGAGTCAGGAGGGGCACGGTACAGGGGGGAGTCAGGAGGGCACGGTCCAGGGGGGAGTCAGGAGGGCACGGTACTGGGAGAGTCAGGAGGGCACGGTACAGGGGGGGAGTCAGGAGGGCACGGTACAGGGGGGAGAGTCAGGAGGGCACGGTACAGGGAGAGTCAGGAGGGCACGGTACAGGGGGGAGTCAGGAGGGCACGGTACGGGGGGAGTCAGGAGGGCACAATACTGGGATCAGGAGGGCATGGTACGGGGAGAGTCAGGAGGGCACGGTACAGGGGGGAGTCAGGAGGGCACGGTACAGGGGGGGAGTCAGGAGGGCACGTACGGGGGAGAGTCAGGAGGGCACGGTACGGGGAGAGTCAGGAGGGTACTGTACGGGGGGAGTCAGGAGTCAGGAGGGCACGGATACGGGGGGAGTCAGGAGGGCACGGTATGGGGAGAGTCAGGAGGGCACGGTACGGGGAGAGTCAGGAGGGCACGGTACGGGGGGGGGGGGGGGTACGGGGGGAGAGTCAGGAGGGCACGGTACGGGGGGGGAGTCAGGAGGGCACTGTACGGGGGGAGTCAGGAGGGCACGGTACGGGGAGAGTCAGGAGGGCACGGTACAGGGGGGAGAGTCAGGAGGGCACGGTACGGGGGGAGTCAGGAGGGCACGGTACGGGGGGAGTCAGGAGGGCACGGTACAGGGGGGAGTCAGGAGGGGGAGTCAGGAGGGCACGGTACAGGGGGAGTCAGGAGGGCACGGTACGGGGGAGTCAGGAGGGCACGGTACGGGGGGAGTCAGGAGGGCACGGTACGGGGGAGTCAGGAGGGCACGGTACGGGGGGGGTCAGGGGGCAGTCACACGGTACAGGGGGGGGAGTCAGGAGGGCACGGTACGGGGGGGAGTCAGGAGGGCACGGGGGGAGTCAGGAGGGCACGGGGGGGAGTCAGGAGGGCACGGTACGGGGGGGAGTCAGGAGGCACGGTACGGGGGAGTCAGGAGGGCACGGGGGGAGTCAGGAGGGCACGGTACGGGGGGGGAGTCAGGAGGGCACGGTACAGGGGGAGAGTCAGGAGGGCACGGTACGGGGGGTCAGGAGGGCACGGTACGGGGGGGAGTCAGGAGGGCACGGTACGGGGGGGAGTCAGGAGGGCACGGTACGGGGGGAGTCAGGAGGGCACGGTACGGGGAGAGTCAGGAGGGCACGGTACGGGGGAGTCAGGAGGGCACGGTACGGGGAGTCAGGAGGGCACGGTACGGGGGGAGTCAGGAGGGCACGGTACGGGGGGAGTCAGGAGGGCACGGTACGGGGGGTCAGGAGGGCACGGTACGGGGGGAGTCAGGAGGGCACGGTACGGGGGGAGTCAGGAGGGCACGGTACGGGGGGGGGGGAGTCAGGAGGGCACGGTACGGGGGGGGGGGGGGCAGTCAGGAGGGCACGGTACAGGGGGGAGTCAGGAGGGCACGGTACAGGGGGGAGTCAGGAGGGCACGGTACGGGGGGGGGAGGGCAGGGGGGGGGGGAGTCAGGAGGGCACGGTACAGGGAGAGTCAGGAGGGCACGGTACAGGGGGGAGTCAGGAGGGCACGATATGGGGGGGGTCAGGAGGGAACTCACCATCCTAAATTTAGTCCCATGAGAGCCCTAGGAACCACACAGGGGAAGTCCTGGAGAAGGAGCGCAGCAAGAGTCACATAAAAGTGACCGGGTGGCCCTACAGCTACAGTACATACAGTACTCGTTGGTACCAGGCTCTGGCTCTGCAGATTTGGAACTTGGTTGTAATTTGGGGACAGGCCTGCAGAATCAGGGACATTTGGGAGGTATGACATGACGTTTCATTATGTTACCAGCCTCTTTGTGGCCCATGCTTCTCATAGGATACATCGGTGAACACACACACAGATAATACTTCACATCACATCCAAACAGTAAAATAAAGCACAAAAACAATAATGATAGAATTTTTATTTTTCAGAAATGTGGAACTAAAGAATGAAATAAAAAAAAAAAAAAAAAAAAAAACTGAATATCGAAATCTAACAAAAGGCTCCATTCACAAAGCTTTATTACAAGTAGAAGGGGCAGGACTTTAGCCATGCGACTGTCCTCGTTTCATTGGACTGTTTATGGATATATTTTTTTCCATTATTATTAAAGTAACAATTGAACACCTGAGAAGCGCGCTCACTGCTGATCGAGGAGTGCCGACCGGGCATGCGCAGTAATCTGCCTCCATCTTCCTTCCTTTATAGATCTCTACATTTACTGCCGTCATTGTGATGGAAAAACCAAGTCACATCCGCCCGTACATTTGGTGTCAAAGTTTGTTATTGAACTTTACAGGTTAATTCTCTATGTGTAGATCTTCAAATACACATAACTCCGCCCACTTACTGCATTCATGCATGTACAGGAGTATTTAGGAAATGTAATATGGATGGGAGGCTGGCACTCCGGGGGAAGCAAGGGTGGGGACATAAGCGCTGTTGTGCTTCCTGTATTTCTTTCACTAGATTTCTAGGTTGGATATTCTCTTCAGGGGTCCTTCAGACTCCCGTGGAGACATCAGGGGTCCGTCAGACTCCCGTGGAGACATCAGGGGTCCCTCAAACTCACGTGGAGACATCAGGGGTCCTTCAGACTCCCGTGGAGACATCAGGGGTCCTTCAGACTCCCGTGGAGACATCAGGGGTTCGTCAGAATTCCATGGTTCCGTTGTGCTTCCTGTATTTCTTTCATTAGGTTTATAGGTCGGATATTCTCTTCAGGGGTCCATTAGACTCCTGTGGAGACATAAGGGATCCTTCAGACTCCTGTAAAGACATCAGGGGTCCCTCAGACTCCCGTGGAGACATCAGGGGTCCTTCAGACTCCTATGGAGATATCAGGGGTTTATTAGACTCCTATCGTCTTTCCTGCCCTTTGCCCCAGCCAACCCAACCCAACCCAACCCAAGAGTGTTCTCAGTTACCTCTCATCTGACTTACATACACATGGGCACCCTGTGCTCCTGTTTGTCCACACTTGGGTGGGCAGGAGAATGGGGATGTGCCATTTATTTATTTATTTTTACATTTTTGTTTTTTACTTTATTGCTATCAAACAGGCTGCCATGTGATAGCATTGGGCAGGTGACAGGTTCTATGTATGGAGATATTGAGGTCCTTCAGACTCCCGTGGAGACATCAGGGGTCCTTCAGACTCCCGTGGAGACATCAGGGGTCCCTCAAACTCACGTGGAGACATCAGGGATCCTTCAGACTCCTATGGAGATATCAGGGGTTTATTAGACTCCTGTAGAGACTTCAGGGGTCCGCCAGCCTCCCATGGGGACTTCAGAGGTCCCTCAAACTCCCGTGGGGACATCAGGTGTCCCTCAAACTCCCGTGGGGACATCAGGTGTCCCTCAAACTCCCATGGAGACATCAGGGGTCCCTCACACTCCCGTGGAGAACTTCAGGGGGCCCTAAAACTCCCGTGGAGACCTTCAGGGGTCCCTCACATTCCTGTGGAGACCTTCAGGGAACCCTCACATTCCTGTGGAGACCTTCAGGGAACCCTCACACTCCCGTGGAGACATCAGGTGTCCCTTACTCTTGTGGAGACATCAGGTGTCCCTCAAACTCCGGTGAAGACATCAGGTGTCCCTCAAACTCTGGTGAAGACATCAGTCATGAGCGCCATTGTGCGTCCTGGATTTCTCTTTCATTAGATTTACAAGTTAGATATTATCTTCAGTATATCTTTATGACCCCGCCCAGATTATACCGCAGATATAGGAGTCTCTTCCCACCATTTGGCGCCTCCAAGAAACAGAAGAAGCCAACACAAGACTCCACCTAAAAACATGGACTTTTGCCGGGATGGACTCCATTATAAACCCAATTTTTACCCTCCGGTGGTTCTATGGACAAAAAAGTTCCCCCCCCGATAAAAGCCATCGAACATTTGTCAAGAGTCTTCTCTCCGATTAGACTCATGTGATCTGTAAAACATTTACCACCGTCTGAAAGTTGTTCGGATGCTCTGAGATGTGTCTTGTCATGTGTCCAAGAAGTGACTGTCTTGCAGTGAAACATTTCCCGCACTCTGTACATAAATAGGGACGCTCCCCCGAGTGAAGTCTCTGGTGAGAAACAAGGGTTTGCTTGATTGCAAAACTTTTCCCGCACTCTGAACATGAATAAGGACGCTCACCTGAGTGAGTTCTCTGGTGTTTAACAAGGGTTTCCTTGGCAGTGAAACATTTCCCGCACTCTGAACATGAATAAGGATGCTCACCCGTATGAATTCTCTGGTGTCTAACAAGGCCTGCTTTTATGTTGAAACATTTCCCGCACACCGAACACGAATACGGACTCACGCCTGAGTGAATTCTCTGGTGAGTAGCAAGAGTTCCTTTAGAAGCGAAAGAATTCCCGCACTCTGGACAAGAATAAGGACGCTCGCCTGAGTGGATTCTCTGGTGTAGAAGAAGGGTTTCTTTTTTGGGAAAACTTTTTCCACACTCTGAGCATGAATGGGGACGGTCACCAGTGTGATTCCTTTCATGTTTACGAAGGTTTCCTTGTTCTGAAAAACATTTCCCGCACACTGAACACGAAAAGGGACGCTCACCAGTGTGAACTCTCTGGTGTTTACGAAAGTTTCCATAGTCAGAGAAACATTTTCCGCACTCTGAACATGAAAAGGGACGCTCACCCGTGTGAATTCTCTGGTGTAGAAGAAGTTTGTCTTTGTTAGGAAAACATTTTCCGCACTCTGAACATGAATAAGGACGCTCACCGGTGTGACTTTTTTGGTGTTCCAGAAGTTTTCCTTTTTCAGAAAAACCTTTTCCGCACTCTGAACAGGAAAAGGGACGCTCACCCTTATGAATTCTCTGGTGTCTAATGAGGTTTTGTTTGTTAGGAAAACCTTTACCACACTCTGAACAGCAAAAGGGGCGTTCACCCGTGTGCATTCTCTCGTGTATAACAAGTCTATATTTCTTAGGGAAACATTTTCCACACTCTGGACATGAATGAGGACGCTCAATCTTGTGAGATTTCTGGTGCTTAAGAAATGCTTTTTTTTCAGTGAATGTTTTTTCGCACACTAAACATGACAATGAGCTCCTTCCTCTGTGAGCTCCCTCATGGCTTGGGGAGGATTTCTGGGGATTGGATGGATCTTTTGATCTGTCAGCATTGTGAGAACCTGGATGGGCATCTGAAGTCATAGTATGGGATTTATGAGAAGATTCCACAGGATTAGAAGGATCCATTGATCTTAGATAGACATCTGAAGTCATAGTATGGGATCTGTCAGAAGATTCCTCGGGATTCGAAGGATCCATTGATGTTGGCAACCAGTAAAATGTTACTTTTGGAGAATATGGTGCAATCTGGAGATATAATAGGATGTTTCTCTGCTGTATTTAGATTCCAAAAATACTGTCCATGTTCTGAAAAACAATTATAATATTGTTATTTCTTTTTTATACTCCTTGTATTCAGAAGTCATGTCTATCACTCAACATATTCCCAGAGCTCTGGATGGACGGTTGGATAAATGGATAAGGACGTATGAGGCTCTGGATGGACGGTTGAATAAATGATTCTATATTTAGGACGTATCCGGTCTATAAACCAGAGGCTCTGGATGGACGGTTGGATAAATGGTTCTATATTTAGGACGTATCTATAAACCAGAGGTCTATAAACCGGAGGCTCTGGATGGACGGTTGGATAAATGGTTCTATATTTAGGACGTATCGGTCTATAAACCAGAGGCTCTGGATGGACGGTTGGATAAATGGTTCTATATTTAGGACGTATCCGGTCTATAAACCAGAGGCTCTGGATGGACGGTTGGATAAATGGTTCTATATTTAGGACGTATCCGGTCTATAAACCAGAGGCTCTGGATGGACGGTTGGATAAATGGTTCTATATTTAGGACGTATCCGGTCTATAAACCAGAGGCTCTGGATGGACGGTTAGATAAATGGTTCTATATTTAGGATGTATCCGGTCTATAAACCAGAGGGTCTCCGGGCTCTGGATGGACGGTTGGATAAATGGTTCTATATTTAGGACGTATCCGGTCTATAAACCAGAGGCTCCGGATGGACAATTGGATAAATGGCTCTATATTTAGGACGTATCCGGTCTATAAACCATAAAAGACGTCACAGTGATGATGGAGGATGAGGATGGGCATGACGGTGGAGGAAGAGGACGGACATGATGGGGGGGTTACTGGGTGTAAATAGACAATAAGATCTCATTACCTCCTCGGTGTCTTCCACTGATGTCTCCTCTCTCTCGTTCTTCTCTCTCCCAGAACTTCTTGTCTTTCCCTTATATAACGCCTTGTCTTACATCACTTCCTGTTCCTACATGACATCATCACTTCCTCTCTGAGCATCTGTTGACCATAAGTGATATCGCCATCTTGTGGCGATTTTAATAACGGCCTCCTACTTTATGCGTTGATAACCCGCCCTCTGTCACGCGTTCTCTGGTTACAGTTCATACATTCTGACACGCTCACATTATACTTCCATTCATACGAAATCAATAATAAAATACTCAGTCTCCATTATTTACGCCCCCCCCGCAGGCCCCTGATATGTTTTTGGCTTGAGAGCATTTTTGTTAATTTTTTACACACACTTTAAAAAATCCATTTTTGGTTGGAAATATATTTCAGCCTCCCCCCCCCAGAATATTATATATTTTATGATAGCAGAGTCCCCGTAGAATAAGAAAATGGCAGTTGAAAATGGTTATGTTGTGCGTTATTTATTCATAAATCTACATTTTCACGAAAAAATAACAAAATTAAAAAAAAAGTAATTTTTTCATATTTTTAATTTTTTTTTGTGAAAAATAAATGACGAGGTTGTGCCGAGTAAATAGAGTTCAAACGTGTCAGGCTAAAAAACCACGTGCGCACTTGACGCTCGTGTGTGTGCTCACCGGTGTGGGCGGGGCAACAGAGGTGCACTATTTTTTACATATATTTTATTGTATTTTTTTCTTTTATGTTTTACTTTTTTGTAATCTCATAAGCCATGGGCGCTCAACCTGCGGCCCTCAGGCTGTTGCGGAGCTTCAAGTCCCATCATGCCTCTGCCTTTGGGAGCCATGCTTATGACTGTCAGCGGCCTGCATTGCCTCATGGGACTTGTACTTCCGCAACATCTAGAGGGCTACAGGTTGAACACCCATGGCAATAGGATAGCATTGGGCAGGTGACAGGTTCTCTTTATGGAGACATCAGGGGTCCATTAGGTTCCTATTGTCTTCCCTGTCCTTTGCTCCGGCCAATGCAAAACACAACATTGTGCTCTATGAAAGGGGCTGTACACCTCAGACATGAAACAGGAACAAAGCACATCCCTCTACATTGTGTACTTGTCTCAGTCCAGAGCAGCGAGTGTCATTTATGTCTGCTGCCTCCTTCCTCTGCTATCAGCATCAGTCACTTCTGACACCAAGAGATAAAAAGGTGACAGGGGACCTCCAGCACACAGCCTGTGATTGACAGCCTCAGCTCTGTTCCTGTGTGCTGTATGAAGGGGGTGTGTCCCTTCCCTCCAATCAGCTCTCAGAGGTCTCCTCACTGAGCTCTGCAGAGTGTAACTTCAGCTCCCCGCCCACTTTTTTTTCTGACAGCTCAGGCAAGCTTTATAAATTCTGGACTTTGAATGGTTGTGGAGAAGATAGGGCTGTAAATAAACAGGTACAGCTTATGCAGGAGTTTCATCTCTGAGGATCACCTGAGGCCATTTCCTTCACTGGGTATATGGAGGGTTTACAACCACTTTACCTATACATCTGGCTTTCTAGCCAGCTCTGACCCGGAAGGGGCTGAGAACTAAGGTCTAGAACAATCTCTGTCTTTGGTGATGAGCATATTCGCTCCAGCACCCTGTCTGGTGGTGGATTCATTCGATCGGCACTCGGAGCTGCACTACAGGAAGTACATGTCAGGCCACAGGAAGGTCCTGAGAGCCCTACACTTCTATGGAGGAGCTCGGGGGATGGATGTTCCATGATCTCCTCCTGCCTGCCATCCTAAAGTTATTTGTTGTGGTCCCGGTGTTCCTACGAGAGTCCGGGAACCACAAAAGGGAAGCACAGGAGAATGGGACAGCAGCGAGAGTCGTGGGGTGGCCCTAATAACTACATAGATCATTTTTAGAGTAAAACCAGGAGTCGGAAACCTGGGAGAACAACAACTAACTTTAAGATGGCGAGCGGGAAAAGATCATGGAACGTCTCCATTAATATTGTACACTGTATTGTATTTGAAGGTCCATGTATTGACATATTTGAAGGAGATGGACCTTTTCATATGGTGTCCAGTATCTCCTCCTCATTTGTTGGGAACACGTTATATTGAGGAATGGAGATGGACCTTTCATATGTTGTCCAGTATCTCCTCCTCATTTGTTGGGAAACATGACGTTATATTGAGGAATGGAGATGGACCTTTCATATGGTGTCCAGTATCTCCTCCTCATTTGTTGGGAACGTGACGTTCTATTGAGGAATGGAGATGGACCTTTCATATGGTGTCCAGTATTTCCTCATTTGTTGGGAACGTGACGTTATATTGAGGAATGGAAATGGACCTTTCATATGGTGTCCAGTATTCCTCCTCATTGTTGGGAACATGACGTTATATGGAGGAATTGGAGATGGACCTTTCATATGGTGTCCAGTATCTCCTCCTCATTGGTTGGGAACATGACGTTCTATGGAGGAATGGAGATGGACCTTTCATATGGTGTCCAGTATCTCCTCCTCATTGGTTGACGTTAATTGAGGAATGGAGATGACCTTTTCATATGTGTACAGTATCTCCTCCTCATGGGGAACATGACGCCATTCTATGGAGGATGGAGCCTTCATATGGTGTCCGGTATCTCCTCCTCATTTGTTGGGAACATGACGTTATATTGAGGAATGGAGATGGACCTTTCATATGGTGTCCAGTATCTCCTCATTTATTGGGAACATGACGTTATATTGGGGAATGGAGATGGACCTTTCATATGGTGTCCAGTATCTCCTCCTCATTTGTTGGGAACATGACGTGATATTGAGGAATGGAGATGGACCTTTCATATGGTGTACAGTATCTCCTCCTCATTTGTCGGGAACATGATGGGGGTAATCCTTCTATTCAGGTACATCGATGATTACACACACAGATTGGACCTCACATCACAGCCAGACATTAAAAAAATAAAATGATAAACAACAAATAGATAGTTTTATTATGTAGAAATTGAAACTCACGTGAGGCTCATTTCACAAAGCTACAATACAAGGAGATGGTTCGGGACTTCAGCCATGTGACTGGAATCTTCTAATCTCATTGGACCTTTTTCATTTTTTTTTTTCTTTTACATTATTACTACCAAAGTAATACTTAACAAGCATGCTCCCTGCTGATAGAAGACAGAGCCTACTGGGCATGCTCAGTACCCACATTAGTCCGCCACCATCTTCCTTTCTTTGTAGTCCTCTACCTTTACCGCCATCATTGCGATGGAAAAAAATCAAGTCCCACACGTCTGAACATTGTGCGCCAACAATTCTGATGGAACATAAATAAGGACGAGCACCTGAATGACTTTCCTGATGGGTCACATTCTCTTTTCCGAGTGAAAGATTTCCTGCACTTTTGATCACAAATAGGGACGCTGACCTATGTGAATTGTCTGGTGTCTAACAAGGCTTCCTTTTTTTTGGTGAAACATTTCCCGCACTTAGGTGAGTGTCCCTATTCGTGATCAAAGTGAATTGTATGGTGTCTAACAAGGCCTCCTTTTTTTGATGAAACATTTCCCGCACTTTGATCACGAATAGGGACACTCACCTAAGTGAATTGTCTGGTGTCTAAAAAGGCCTCCTTTT